TTGTCATGTTAAATAAAAACTATGACAACATATTTATTATTTATTTAGTTCTGAAATTCTAATCTATTACAAATAACTTGAATGCTTCTATCCATTATCTTGTCCGAGTATAATTATGGTCGGGAAATGTCTTCAGATATACATTTACATGTAAAACTTAGCTTAGAAAATAACAAGACAAAATAAAAATAACTAATAAATATATATTATTGCATAAAATTTTTCAATACGAGTGAATGGTGCTATATGTCAACAGACCTTTATAAATTAATAAAAAAAAAAATCGGTATTTTACACGGAATCGCCGTGACATCGAAATATATATTATTTAGTTTTAATCTAATAATTCATTCTGTAAGTATAGTAGCTTTCTCTTCTGAAGTCCACGTTATTTTAATAGTCAAAAGAATAAGCAGATTTATTTTATTAGTAAATTAATTCTATCTTTTATACGACATGTGTTCGGTAACAAGCACACATGTTTTACGGCAATAAAAATCGTGTTATTAAAATATTGATTTAAAACATCAAACGTATGTGCAGAAAAAATGTTTTAATTATTTATTCACTTATTTATTTATTGTTTATTTATATTTTAGCATCTAACATTAGAATAAAACAGAATAATTTAAATGCAAGGAAAAAATCTGAGGCATTCCGAATAAATCGTTCATCTTGCGTTCACCGTTCGTTCACCGTTCACCCTTTGCGCTCCGTTCGCGTTCTGCGTTCACTCACCGTTCTCCGTTCACACATCGTTCACCAAGTTGCGTTCAGCGTTCACACACCGTTCGTTCACCGTTCGCTCTGCGTTCGTTCACCGTTCGCTCTGCGTTCGTTCACCGTTCGTTCAGCGTTCGCTCATCGTTCAGGTGGGAAAGTAGAAAGTTTCAGGGACTGTACTTATTGGCTTAGAATCATCAAACTTTGTCATTTGATGCATCTTGGGTTTTCAAAGCATGTCGACCAAAAAGTAGGTCACAGTGACCTACTTTCGACATTTTATGGCTAGTTTTGTGTATTTCAGGTATTGGTTTAGAATCATCAAATTTTGTCATTTGCTGCATCTTAGATTTTCAGAGCAAGTTGACCAAAAGTAGGTCACAGTGACCCAATTTTAAATATGTCAGGTACTGATTGGCTTAGAATCATCAAACTTTGTCAGTAGATGCATTGTGGGTTTTCGGAGAATGTCGAACCCAAAACATGTCAAAAATTAGGTCACAGTAACTTACTTTTGTCATTTAATGGATATATTCCGGTACTCATTGGTTTAAAATCATCAAACTTTATTTGATGTATCTTGGGTTCTCGGAAAATGATGATCAAGATATAGGTCACAGTGACCTACTTGTGACATTTATGGCTATATTTAAGTATAATAGGGTACTTATTGGCTTAGAATTGTCAAAGTTTGTCAGTTAATGCACCTTGGGCTTTCGAAGAATGTTGACCAATAAGTAAGTCACTGTGACCCACTTTTGATTATCTCAAGTACTTATTGGCTTAGAATCATAAATCTTTGTCAATTAATGCATCTTGTGTCCTCAGAAAGTTTCAATCAAAAAGTAGGCCACCATGACCTACTTGTAGTATTTTATGGTTACATTTAATATCTTCAGCCCTAACTGGCTAAGAATCATCAAACTTTGTCAGTTGATGCATCTTTGGTCTTAGGATAGATTGTTTGATTTATCAGAATAGCGATTTAAGGCCCTTGGGCCTCTTGTTTTTTATAAAATACTTTGAACAATATTTATCATTGAACAAATCTTGAAAATTAATGCGCGTAAATTATTGTGTGACATTTAAGGCACTAAAAATTAAGATATTTTGGGTTTTTAAAAACTAAATAGGTAATAAGTCATTTTCTTAAATTAAGCTTTTTACAACTCGGGTGCTGGTCAGTCACAAGTTTTGAGTACTTTAAACGACTTGAGTGCTGATCAGTCACAAGTATTGAGTACTTTAAACGACTTCAGTGCTGATCAGTCACAAGTATTGAGTACTTTAAAATAATTAAAGAAAAAGTTGGGGTCATTGATGTTAATTTTGAAATATGGGTCAAAATGTGATTTTCAGGCGGAAAATGGTGTAAATTTTATCCACACTTATTTGGCATATCTTCATTTTTTGGCATAAATTCTTGAAGAAAGATGTATAACTTGTTTTAACGAGGCTAGGGGGTGGCAGCCATTTTTAGACTATTTCAATCTCCTTTAAAAGGAGAGCTCCATATAAAGATATACAAAATGGTAAAATTTTAAAACTAAAACATATTAATTTTTTCTTTGCCAAATGATAGTTGACAGCTAAATATACCGTTAATTTGAGATTAAATTGTTGACCCGGCAGCCTCCTTGAATATAGAAATTAGGACCTATATTATATATTCATAGCAATATCATAATGGAAAATATTATCCGAATAAAAGTATGTGAGGCTATAGTTCCTAGATATTTAATTTTTATAAATGTGCAGATTTGCAGAATTATCTGCTTAATATTCTTTCATCACAAGAAATAGTCCCACATAAATCTTGTTTCTTTGTAGCTTTTTGAGGATTTTTTTTTTCATTGAATGTTAAAACATTTAAACTTTTGAAATAAAATAACTACTTGTGAATGATTCAAAAGGGTTTCATCTTTCCTGGCTCAGTGTTTCTTTGGAAGAAGATTTTCAAAGATTTTTCCTATACATGTTTATCCCGATATAAAACTTCGATCGGCCATTTTGGTCCCACCTATCCAGTGGAGTCTTAATTTGAATAAATTTGTATCTACATTACCTGAAGATGATTCCACGAGTTTCATATTTCCTGTCCTATTGAGACTTGTGAAGATTTTATTTAGAAAAATTCCTATATATATATATTCCTATATAAAACTTCGATCGGCCATTTTGGCCCCACCCTCCCTCCGAGGGTCATGCAGGTTTTGAAATTGATGTACATTCAACAGAGGGAGTTTAGTAAAAGATGGGTCTGGACAGGTAAAATGCCACGTACTAAATCGACTGGTCGTGTTACAAAAAGGAAAGGACTTTAATTTGAAACAAATTTATAGTCAAGGAAAAATAAAAGTCATCAGTACACATATACATGGAATAATTTTACATTAAGTAAAAAATGCGGACTATGTAACTATGTAAATAAAAAATGCGGACGTCATAGCAACTTGCGGACTTGAATCTTTACATAAATAAATTTACAACCATAATTGTGTGAAATTGTCACAAATATTTACATTATCCTTAAACAGTCCATATATTCCGTGGATGGTAATTGTTCTATTTTGTAAGGACTCCGGTAATTCATTTTGGCAGACAGTTTTTGTAGATGTATTGGATGCAGACTTTACTAGTAAGCTCGCTTGATATTTGTTTGCCGGTTCAAGTCAAAACATATTTCTCTGCTGTTTCACGTGGTTTTGAACATGTAAATATTAAAGAATCACTCTATTCCGTTTGAGGATGGTCCTTCATAATATGTCTCCTTACAACAACTTTACGGCAGTACAAAATTTTTTACATATCTCGCAGTAATATCTTGTGATCGTTAGATTGTGGATGAGATTGAAGTGTCTCTTTAACCCCCTTCCCCGCAGTCACGCATTTTAACGCATATATCATTTCCTATTTCTAACGCAAAATCACGCATATACCGTTTCCCCGCAATAACGCATTTTCACGCACTTTAAAAAATTCATTTAATCTTTACTTTAATGACTATTTCCTTCTACTTTATACTTGCAAAAATCTAATCAAATAAGAAATGTTATTTTTGTGTTGAAATATAGCGTAATAATATTATTTACGCTAAACTTTAGAGAAACGTGTACCACGCTAAAGGGTGCTTGCGAGGAAATGGTAAATTTATGTTTCCATGACGTGAAGATTCAGTGTATGTTGCATAACAGTACAGCAAGTTGTAAAGTGTTAAATAGCTTAAATTTGCCTTCAAATTTATTGCAAGCGATGTTGACTTTCTTTGGTACGGATTATTTGGGTCATCTGGGTTCTTCCTCATGGTGTATTTAACTTTAGCCATACTTCTGGTTAAGTCCTAGCGGATGTAAAGTTTTGAAGATGTGGATAAAGACCTCTTCTGTTCTTAAGCGTTGATTTTTGTTGTTATTGATTTTTTAAAAGCGGCGTCATGGAAACATCCTGTATGTTATGTAACTGTGACGTATCTGATTGTGACGTTGTAAATTGTGTCGTGAAATGGCGGGAAACGGGTTTTTGTTGATTTGCATTTTTGATGTGAGCGAAGTGTCCATACAAGCGTTCTTTAAGGGAATTGCTCGTTTGTCCGATCTATTGGAAAGAACATTTTTTACCTGTGATTACCTTTGATTACATAATGAATGGACTGCTATGTGGTATTGCAGTTAAGGTTCTGATTGATGGAATAAGTTTTACTGTTGAAATAATGCAGATACCACGGACTGCTTCCTTTACCTTCTGGAGTGGGGTTGAGGTTAGAATGGACTAAGATGCTTCTTAGGTTTGGGGGTCTTTTGTATGCTATTATAATTCTGTCCTTCAAATCGCATGTGTCAGGTGATTGTTCTAGTATGGTTTTGTATTTGTTTATTATAGATCGAAAATCTGGATTCAAGTTATTAAAAGTTGTTACTAAAGGAATGACACGTTTGCTTGTAGATTTTTGGTTTTATTAATAAGTAGTAACGACCAATGTATCCTTGTGATAACACTCTTTATTAATTAGGAAGTGGTGTCAACTGTCCTTGTTATGACAAATTAACCAGTAAGTGGTGTCAATGTAAATTTAATGTGGATTTTTAAAAGCATTTATTAAAATAAATAAGGTTAAATATTCTCTTTATATTAATAGTTAGGTCTATTTCTTTTCGAAGATTGAAATTTGTTTATCAGTTTTACGGATCTACTTTTCGTAAACCCTTGTTGAACCGGCGTTGCCATTGTAAGCTTTGTCATCCATTGACATTGTGCCCTATTCTTCTTATATAAGAATATTGCCTCAGTGCGGGTGTATCATCATTAAAGTCTCTTTGACATCAGTATAATGATAAAGTCCTGCAGGAACCCAAGGATTGGTCCAGCTCTCAGACCAGGGTCCGTTAAGGTAGGCCTGGTGACAGTTATTGAACCACCAGCCCCCCTGTTCCTTTACAGCACAGTCAATATTCCCATTGTCGTTATCTCTGTCCGGGGTACTAAAGTACATCCCAGACAGATCAGCGTACTCCTTACCAGTGTGTAGCATGCCATCACCTGCCAAAGTCAAATCACAGATAACTACTCTGTGCTGTATTAAGTTACATTTTATCATTGCATCATAGCTGGCACATGGGGCTTCTTATACTTAATACTAGTTCAGTAATATTTCATAACCAATTTCGGAAATTTTGTGTTAACCATATAGCCTGCTTAATTCGAACATTGCATTCATTCTTTCAATTAAAAAAAATCCGTACCACCAATTAAGCGAAAAGTTAAGTCAAGAAGCAAGTGCAAGGATATTTGAAAAAGCATTTCATAAAATGGTTATTACTAGAAAAGGGTTAGGGGAAGATCTAAATTGAAGAAAAAAAATCAGTACATGTAACAGCATGTTGAAGCAGAAAGTTAGAAGATCAAGTCTTACAAGACCACATGGATGGTGTTTATGAAAAGTGAAAACTTTAAAATTTTGAAAATGAAAGAGAATGAATTTAAAATCCCAGCACGTTAAATGATACATACATATAGTTTGTTAAATGCATTCTTTGAACTGACGGGACGAACCGCTTATTTCCACGAATCAGTAAAACAATATAAATAGGCAAAAAACACGAACCCCCAAAAATTCTAGAAGTGGTATCAAGTGCCTAGGAGGAGAAATCATCCCCTGTTGATCGATTACACCCAACATGATCCAATAGTATCGATAAGTATAAGAAACAAAAAAGCGATCAATGTTCCTGTTCAAAAATTGTACGACTCCTTGCTGAAATTAATTGTACGTGTTTGTCAAAAGGGTACCCAAATTGATTAGTTATAAAATTCATTCTTAAGCATGGAACAAGTAAGGAATTTCTTTAAATGATACCGTATGCATTAAGCGAAATAACCGTCTTAAAATTGATTGGCATCCGGGTTGTGTGTTTAATTTGTCATGTACCCTTAACCTCTTCTTGGGTTTGTGTGTTTACTTTGTTATGTACCCCTAACCTTCTCTGTGGGTTTGTGTGTTTACTGTTATGTACTCCTAACCTTCTCTATGGGTTTGTGTGTTTACTGTTATGTACCCCTAACCTCTTCTGTGGTTTTGTGTGTTAACTGTTATGTACCCCTAAGCTTCTCTGTGGGTTTGTGTTTTTACTGTTATGTACCCCTACACTTAACCTCCTCTGTGGGTTATTTCATACAACACTGTATCGTTTGGTAATGTTATGGAGACGTAAAGGGTGGAGTTCCTTCCCTTGGTAAGATGATGGATCACGGTTTGTGTGTTTACTTTGTTATGTATCCCTAACCTTCTCTGTGGGTTTGTGTGTTTACTGTTATGTACCCCTAACCTCCTCTGTGGGTTTGTGTGTTTACTGTTATGTACCCCTACACTTAACCTCCTCTGTGAGTTTTTATTTTTACTTTGTTATATACCCCTTACCTCCTCTGTGGGTTTGTATTTTATTTTAATAACAATCTACGTCACTCACCTAAGGTTCCATCCACCCATTCTCCTAGAAACAGTCTGTACTTGTCTTCCTCGTCAGAAATAGAGAACTGTCCGTACATTTCATACAACACTGTATCGTTTGGTAATGTTATGGAGACGTAAAGGGTGGAGTTCCTTCCCTTGGTAAGATGATGGATCACATCATTTCCTTCAATATGTTATTATTGAGTTCCCAACAACTGATTAAGTAATTACTTCTGTATTTCATTGTCGATACCACAAATGAAGGAAAAATCGATATGAGTGATAACATTTATGCACAAATGTATGTAAAAAAAAACTATACCAATCCAGTATGAATCTTGGGGATCCCCAAAACCTTCTTTGTATTCCGACCACGTCCGGTTAAATTCAACTGCGCCTCTTTTTCGTTTCTGGATTGCCTATGATTAATTGTCTACATATTTTTAGTAGAGTATTAATATTTATATAAAATAATGTGTGTACAGGTTTTTTTTTATTTTTACTACCAAAAAGTCAAATTTCACTGTATCAGAATTGCCAAATTATTTCAAGTATTAATTTCACTATTATTCAATGATCATATAAACAAAGCTAAACCAATGGTAAAACAGAAGTCTCAAAGAATTTCTTCTTTTGAGTAACCCACCCCCTTAAAAACACGTTTTACCAGAAAGTTTTGAGTGATAGGAGAGAGAGAGAAAGGAAATGCTTTACTGTCCATCCTCCTCCATTCATCTTCATGTCACAGTAGACATTAATCTGGCTCTCGTTACCATAGGGATTAATTCTGAAGACACCAGACTGTCTATGTCCGCTGTTATAGAGGCCCTCACAATCCACATCTCGTCTTAAATCTGTATTATAGAATTATAATATTTATAATATTAAGGCCTTCATTATCCACATCCCTACTTAAATCTGAATTAAAGAATTATTATATTTATATATCAGAATCCACCTATTGTCTTAAATCTGAGTTATAACATAATTATTTTTATAATATTTAGGCCCTCACAATCCACTTATCGTCTTAAATCTTAATTATAGAATTTATATATTTTTAATAAAGAGGCCCTCACAATCCACATATTGTCTTAAATCTGAATCATAGAATTATTATATTTATAATGTAGAGGCCCTCACAATTCATAATCGTTTTAAATCTGAATTATAAAATAATTATATTTATAATATAGATGCCTCACAATCCACATAATGTTTTAAATCTGAATTATAGGATTATTATATTTATAATGTAATCAAAGAATTTTATCACATTATTAGCACTTAATACAGAGGATAAAGCTCATTTCTTGTGGTGATTGAAATAAATAAAAATATAGTGGATTTTAAATATAAACAGCATAGAACATAAAATATCTGTGTCATAAACGTGTGGGGATTTTATTTCAATGTTCTGTAGTTGGATTAGAAATTTAATTCAATCTTGACGAGGGTATAAAAACATGAGTTGGATACAGAAAATCTTATCCCATCATAGACGATGGCAGATCCTGTTAAATGGAGAGAGAAACAGCATATTACCTTGCCAATACATATTTTTCAGATATTGATGAATAGAGGTTACATTTTCACTCAGACTTGTCAGCTTCTGATCAAATTCCAAAATACTCTTCTGATAATTCCTCGCAATCTTCTTGTTTTCCTGAGTAAGTATATTGAGCTGTCTTTTCATTGTTTCTACAGTGTGTTGCAAAGTGGAGGTCATTGTTTCTGTAGACGTCATTGTTCGATTCATGGAACTAACCTCATCCACTAGAGATCTAACGTCCTTTACCAAAGCTAAGCGAATGAGGGTCTCCTGATTTATGATTTGTCGCAAAACATCAATTTCCTTCACGGTAGAGTTCTGATCGTAAACGCCTGTAGTGTTTGAAATTGTAACGAAAAGAATAGTAACAATGACAAACTTCATATTTTTAGGTAGATGCAAAATACCGGGATAAAAAAATAGTAATTGGAAAGCTACGCTTTCATTATATACACACGTTTGGGAATTCCCAAAAACTAACCAGAGGTACACGTAGCTAATACTAGTCATATGTTTTTCTGCGTTTTGCTCAAATTGAAAGATGCGCAGAATACTTATCACATTGCAGGATTTACCGCACGATCGTCCTAAAATTATTGTCACTGTTGAAGCAGCTTGTTTTTAAAATATCAATATTTCACGGATACACATTGTATTGATATTTGTAATCGTATCATTATCATATCTCACGGATATATGGAAGAAAAAAATTACGTATGTGTTTTCGAATTATTCTGCATCTTCTTTAAAGATGATGGGTGAACAAGGAGAGTAAAATGTCTTAATCTTACATTTCAGTTCAAATATTCAATTTAATATTATTTGTCTTTGGAATAGAATCAATAAACTCAAAAGGGTCATTGTTTAAATCATATTAACGAGGCTAGGGGGTGGCAGCCATTTTTAGACTGTTTCAATCTCCTTTAAAAGGAGAGCTCTATATGAAGATATACAAAATGATAAAATTTTAAAACTAAAACATTTTAAATCTAAAATATATGAATTTTTTCTTTGATAGTTGACAGCTAAATATACCGTATCTAAATCAAAGAACTGAAAGTACTGAAAAGCGGTTAGCATGCTTTCATCGAATATGTACAGTGTACAATAACAAAAAATGCATTGAATGATGACATTAAAGTAAGCATGCATATCTTTTTCCAATGTCATCAGCGAAGAAGCAGACACGCTGAAGTTTGTATGTAGTACTTAAGTAAATGGTAAAACCAATAACATCCCAGACTGATGTCACAAATGTTTGTGTCAAAATATCAACCTGAGATTTTCAGTTTGAAACACAGGAAGTTCAATTTCAAAAATTTCTCCCTAATTGTCTCCAATGGTGGCGTCCAAAAGTGCTCAGAACGAAAAAAAAATTATGTTGATGTTGCAAATTTAATTGGCTTTCATGGTCTATTGATTCTGAAATTAGGTTTACTAACTGTAAAGGCTACTATAGCAAACAAATCAAAAAGAAAATAAAATGATAATTCAAATTCTTTAGATTGATTGATTATTGTTGTTTTACGCCGAGTCGGCAGTATTTCAGCCATATTTCGGCGATTAAAATAAGTTTGATCTTTTTTGAAATTTTTGGGTTTCTCTGGCGGCCCCCAATGAGCCTACTCTTTTTCGAAAACCAGAGAAACGATCTTTTTCGTGCCAAGGGGGTTGTTATCCTTGACACGGGGAACCATTTAACGTCCCATCCGACGGACTCTAACTTTAAAAATATATAAACAGTTACAATGTATAATTTAAACAGTTAAAAAATATATACAACATTGTTTCATCATTTTAAATTTTGCAGTAAAAATCAGTTTCACGTAAAAACTCTAAAATCGTATAAACATTTATATTTGCAAAAAGTTCATGCATCGTTTTAGGCTCACTGGGGGCCGCCAGAGAAACCAAAAACTTTACCGATCAATTAACCTAATAGGAATAGTCCGCCGAAATATGGCTGAAAAATTGCCGACTCGGCGTTAAACAATATACAATCATGCATCGTTTGTACATTTTTAAAGAGTCTGTCTCGACAAGGAGAAAAATCGATACATTCCAAAAGAATATGACTGATAGTCAACGGACATTCGCATGATATACATTCTGGTTGCAATTCCCGAGTAATTAAATATTCATGAGTAATTTTTGAATGACCAATACGTATTCTACAAATAATCACTTCGTCTTGGCGTTTCAAGCCGAAATTATATGATTTGTTGACTTTGTTTTCTATAGCATAAAGTTTATTCGTATCACAGAATTCCCAATAAATTTGCCAGAGTGAGTTTACATAAAGTTTAACAAAATATTTTATATCAGTCATGAGTGTAGGGTATTTTGAAACAAGCTAATTCAGAGAATTCGTGTCCCCCGCTTAGGGAAAAAGTCGGCTCCCCCTGACTGAATTTGTAGAATTATTAAATGTATACATGTATACTAAAAGAAAAAAAAATACATGTATGTCAATATGCATATAAAGATTTGATTGCTTATTCTTTATTATGTGTATAGAAGATTTTTTTTAATATGGAATATTTATCACACTGTAATGATGATTTTATAACCTCATAAATTTATTTCACATGCTGAATACTATCATTTAGTAAAATAAAAATAAAGTATTAAAAAAAAAAAGAACGGTCCGACCGAGATTCGATCCCGGGACCTCTCACATTGAAACCGGAGACATAACCACTAGACCACGGAGTCTCTTTACATGGAGTGAAGTATATGCAGAACTGAAGTCACATACATGTATATATTCATGTTTTCATGTTCGGTATTCTCAAAATTTTACACAATCCATGGTGTTTGATTTATTTAGCCTTTATTAAACAGTTCTAATAGATGTAATAAGAACATAAAGTCCGCCGAGAACCTGTTTTATACGCAATAACTCTCCTCATGCCCCTGCGCTAAAAATAGCGACATGTAATACTATAAATACTAATAAAACAAACGGGCGGGGCACTTTGAGAGGGGCGAGAGACGTCCTAGGGAGTTTTGGTATAAAATTACATTGCATCAGCTCAAAATCTTCTTGAAATATCGCCCGGAAATGATAGTGTTACACACAGACAGAATGTATAAATTTACGACCTTGAACTTTGACGTTTTGACCTCAAAATCAAAAGGGGTCTTCTTTAGGCCACAGGGAGTTGTTATGTAAAATTTCATTGCAATAGCTCAAATGGTTCTAGAGATATCGTGTGGAAACGAAAGTGTTTTAACAGACAGAATTTGCTTATTTATGACCTTGACCTTTGACCTTTTGACCTCAAAATCAATAGGGGTCTTCTTTAGTCCATAGGGAGTTGCTATGCTAAATTTCATTGCAAAAGCTCAAAGGGTTCTCGAGATATCGTGTGGAAACGAAAGCGTTACAGACAGACAGAAAGACGGACGGACAGACGGACGGACGGACGGACGGACAAACCCAAATTAATATCCCCCACTTTTCAAGCGGGGGACAAAAAGTAACATCATACTGAAGTGCTGCTTTTGCAGGTATGCCAATGTGACCGGGAATCCAACAAAATTCTATTACTTTACCTTGGTGAGTAAGATGATAATATTGGACTAATATATCTAAAATATATGGTTGTTCAATTTTCATTTTTTAATCGATTGTAAGCATGAAAGCGAGTCCGAGTATATTGTAAATTTGTTCGCAGTAGAAAATATATAATGAAGACCGCAACAAGGACAACGTACAAATTTTGATCAGACAGATGTAATTGTGAAACACGTATGGCATGCGAAGGATAATTTTTATGCCCCCGTAAACGAAGTTTTGGGGGTATATAGTTTTTGTCGTTTCCGTCTGTCTCTCTGTTTGTCCGCAAAACTTAAACCTTGCCCATTGCCCATAACTTTTGATTTAGTGAAGGTATAACTTTCATATTTCACATGTGTATTCCTTGTGACAAGATCTTTCTTTGGGTACCACAGAATTTGACCTTTTTACCTTGACCTTGGAGTTTGACACACTTTCACATAAAAATTTTACTTAGGCCACATCTTAAGCTTTAAACAGTAGATACCAGGACATTTATACTTCACATATGTATTTTTGCGCAAGACCTTTCATTGGATACCAACAACATTGACCCCTTGACCTTGTAGATTTCCGTATTTGTGAAAAAACTTTAACCATGGCCAAAACTTTTGAACGGTAAGGGATGGGACTTTCATACTTTATATAAGTGATCCTTGTAAGTAGTCCCTTCATTGAATACCAAGAACTTTGACACCGTTACTTTTGAGTTTGACCTACTTTAAACAGCAAATCTTGACCATAATTTCTGAAGAGTTAGGGCTAGTGCTTTCATACTTTACATATTCAATCCTTGTGGCAAGATCTTTTATTATACCCCCCGCAAACGAAGTTTGGGGGGGTATATAAGAATCACCTTGTCCGTCTGTCTGTCTGTCCGTCTGTCCGTCTGTCCGTCTGTCTGTGCAATCGTGTCCGGTCCATATCTTTCTTACAGAGGGACATTAGAATCTACTACTCCACATTAAGATTGCTCATAACCTAAGGGTGTGTCATAACCTTGACCCAAGGTCATTTGGGGAAGTTCAAGGTCACTGGAAGAAAATTTTCATAATTCGTGTCCGGTCCATATCTTTCTTATGGATAAACTTGGTAGGTTCTCATTTCACACAAAGATTGCCCATGACCCAAGGGTGTGTCATGACCTTGACCCAAGGTCATTTGGGGAAGTTCAAGGTCACTGGGAGAAAAATTTCAAAATTCATGTGTGACACATATCTTTTATGGATAAGCTTGGTAGGTTCTCATTTAACACAAAGATTGCCCATGACCCAAGGGTGTGTCATGACCTTGACCCAAGGTCATTTGGGGAAGTTCAAGGTCACTGGAAGAAAAATTTCATAATTCGTGTCCGGTCTATATCTTTCTTATGGATAAACTTGGTAGGTTTTCATTTCACATAAAGATTGCCCATGACCCAAGGGTGTGTCATGACCTTGACCCAAGGTCATTTGGGGAAGTTCAAGGTCACTGGTAGAAAAATTTAATAATTCGTGTCCGGTCCATATCTTTCTTAAGGATAAACTTGGTAGGTTTTCATTTCATACAAAGATTACCCATGACCCAAGGGTGTGTCATGACCTTGACCCAAGGTCATTTGGGGAAGTTCAAGGTCACTGGTAGAAAAATTTAATAATTCGTGTCCGGTACAAATCTTTCTTATGGATAAACTTGGTAGGTTCTTATCTCACTCAAAGATTGCCCATGACCCAAGGGTGTGTCATGACCTTGACCCAAGGTCATTTGGGGAAGTTCAAGGTCACTGGAAGAAAAATTTTATAATTCTAGTTTGATACATATCTTTATTATACAAAAACTTACTTCTGAAAAACCCAGCGGGG